GACTGAGGGAGGGTTAGTAGGGGGACCACACCTATGGAGCATATTGCAAGTTGGATCTATCAGATGTAGAACACAAATGTCTTAATCCTGTAATTGGGTAAATGAGGTGAAGGCTATGTTGATTAGTAGGATGTAAGCACACCAATTTGTACAAATAATCTACACATTGAATCCCATAATGGCATAAATGTATTTATGATCTATGTACAAATGACTTAATAAATAAATAAATAAGAATGGAAGAAAAATATCCAACGTACTCAGTACTATTATGAACCCAATTCATAATCATTCACACTTTCATATAAAAGATAAATCACAACTACAGCCCAGGATGAAGGAAGGAAGGGGTGGGGGATGGGAGGGGAGGGGGAGATTTGATGGAAGGAGAGTAAATGGTGGGACCATTCCTATGGTTCATATTACAAGGGTACATGTCAATCCTATTAAGTATAGAGCATAAATGTCTTAACACAATAATTAAGTGAATGAGGTAAAGGCTATATTAACCAGTTTTATGTAAGCATTCCAAATCGTATTTAAAATCAACATATTGTACCCCATAAATGTATACATGATCTTCAATAAAAAAAAAAAATCCACTCCATAATGATGACCCTGTTCTCTTGCACTGCTGCTTAGAAAGAAAACATTTCTTTTTTTCTTTTGGCCAGGGCTGGGCTTGAACCTGCCCCCTCCGGCATGATGGGGCCAGAGTCCTACTCCTTTGAGCCACAGGCGCCACCCCAAGAACAAAAACATTTCTAACTATCCATTCTTCCTTTTACTCTCCCAACAGCTGTCTTATTCTCTGGCCAGGTCTGATCAGTTCTCAACAAATACTCAAATATTTGGTCTTGAAAACAAAACAAAACAAACAAACAAAAAAACCTCGAGAAGAGAGAAAAGGCATTTTTTAACCTCCATTCTTCATCAAAATGCACCATGTTGCCACCTTCTTTTGTAGGCTTCTGCCTAGCTTGTATCTAAAAAGATGAAGTCAATTGGTTTCATAGGTGTTTCGGCCTTGAGGAGGAGGCCTCTTCTTCTTTCCCTCATTCATTCATTTGTTAAATATTTTGGAGTGCCTAATCACCTTCTTTGACACCTAGTATTAAACAGTGGTAAAGAAAAAGACCTAAGCGTTGTCATCAAGAACCCCCGGCCAGGCTCAGCATCTCCATATCTTCAACATCAGTGAGGTCAGACCCCCAGAAAGTCACAAGGAGGGTCCCCTCTTTCCGCCTTCTAGACCAAGTCTTCAGAACCATATACACGTACCATTAAAGAAAACTCAGC